GATTCATTGGGAGCCCTTGGTCAAGCCGCATGCGTAACGCCGTCCATGGGCCCCTCCCCAGCCCTTTGCCTTTTGCTCTGCAGCATCATCCACTCGATCCAGATCAATGGAGAACCCAAATCCAGAAGCCTCTGGAGAACACCCTTCCTCCTGCAGCCCCTCTGGCCAAGGCAGGGCTTTCCAGTACAAGTATCTCTTGATGAACTGTGGCATCACCTCCACCCTTGATCCACCCTCAGGCTCTGCCACTTCACTTTCCCGTACAGAACAACCCGAGGCGAAACATCTCACTGGTGTGCTGGTCCAGAGGCTCAGAGGATCTTGGACACCACAGATAAGTCGTGGCAGCAGGTAGATGGCTCTTTGGAGAGCTCAGCTGGAGCAGACCACGCAGTTTGATCACCATGGTCAGTCCTGACCATTCCTACTCTGGACAAAGCGATGGAGGAGCTGGAAGCTTTGGGAGGCTACAGGAGGTTGTCCTCTGTGTGCCCAGAGCAGCAAACAGGCTGCCACGGGTTAGGGAGAGGTCAGGCAGCCAGATGCTCTGGGTTGTCTTGACATAACCTAAATTATCTTATCTAGAAAGGAGAGATTATGACTAAGAGCCTCCCTACAGGAGGCTGCCAACACGGAGCCCTTCCCGAGGGCGATGCTGCCAATTTTCACTGATGTCAAGCTAGGTCCTCCCTGCCGACGTCTGCTGTCCACCCAGGGCTGCTCCTGACATCTGAAAGACCAGCCGGGGCTGAAGCTCCTATGGATGGTGTCAGCCTAGAGGTGTTTCCCAGGCATCACAGTTTCCCCTCTTCCATTTCCAGCTCCACAACCCTCCTCAAGCCAGGTCCAACAGCCTCCCCTGCCCCTCCCAGCTGCCACCAACCTTGTTCACCACCAGGAAGTTCTCGAGGGTCTTCCCATTGGAAAACACCAGGTCCCCGGTGTCCTTCACAGCTTCGGGGAGGATCTCCTTTACCTCCTGAGCGATGACACCTGCGTGAAAACAGCACAATGGGTCAAGGTGGTCTGGACCACAGCTCTTCTGTCGTTCACCATGGATTGGACGAGGTCATCCTCACCACAGAAGCCCTACAAGCCACCTGTGGGAAGTGCCCACCTCCTCTCCCACTCGCCGAAGAGAGAATCTCATTAGATGCCTGAATTTGGGGTGGTGAGAAGCACCCTCCTTCCTCCCCCACGCCTGGGCGGGCAGCGCCGCGCGACACCGAGAACAAAACGCCGCTGCAGGTCGCGGAACACGAGATCCACAAGCAGGTCGGGGCTGCGTGACGCGGCGCCCGTACCTGTCTCAGAAGTGTTGTCGATGCCCACCGTGGCCGCGAACTCGGGCTTGTAGTTGTAGTGCACGAGCCGCATGCGGGAGATCCTCTTAAGCTGCTCCGTGGTGTCCACCTGCGACAAACCAGACACATGAGAGGGGGTTGTTGCTTCTTAACTTGCCCTGACTCTGACCTTGAGGCTGCAAAAACCCACCACGGCTCGTGGGGATACCTTTGTGGGACAGCTCTTCACGAGCCCCGAACCCTGCTCAGACCAGCCATTAGGACAAGTGCTGGGTTTAACCTCGTCCCCAACGAATTCCTTGCGTAGTGAAACCCGAAGGAGACCGAGTCCTGCTGCACAACCAGGTGCAGAAGAGTTCTCATAAATGTGAGATGTGGTTGTCCCCAGCTCTTCTGGGCAGGGCACGTCCAGCTGGGAGGACTTTGGAGCAGAGCTGAGCCTCTCACCCAGGCAAGCCTTGGTGTGCTCTTGGATATATTCACTCGTTTCCAGGTTTCTAACTTGTGTGTTTCCTAGTTCTGGCTAAATGCGCCCTAAGACAGGCTAGACAGGCTGAATTTGGGACAGACAGACTTCTAAGGCACTTTCCATCTGGCCAGCAGGAGCTCAGGTTAGGACTGTGTCAAAATTAGCGGGTTCACAAGGACACTCACACTTTTCACGATGCCTCCTGAGGTCTCGGATCCCCCAAAGCGTACCCCGGTTTGCCCGGCTCTTACCTCCTGGATGTCCTCCTTCACCCGGACGTCTGAAGGGTGCATCAGCGACCCCATGACCTTCACGTTGCCATGGACCACGAGGGCTTCGTCGGGACGGTCCGTGTTGATGCCAACCCGGCCGTGATGAAAAACGGTATCGGGGAGCTGCGCCCGCTGCCACAGCACGTCGCTGTCGCTCTCGAACTGGCCGGGGTTGGAGGCCTGTGGACAGACAGAGAAGTCTCTAGAGCAGGAGAGGTCACAGGTAACGGGTGGACCTCAGACTGCCCCGTGCTGCTGCGGTGGCCCGGGTGGTGCCAGGCAACCCACCACAGAGGGGTGGGTGGAAAAACGGCTGCGAAACAAAGCTTGGCGTAAGCAGAAGCACCCAGGGCTATCAGAGCTCTTCCAACAACCCCAACCTGAAGCACGTGGGGACAGCAGGAAACCAAATGACGTGGCTGCTCCTCCTGTGGCCCAAGTCTTGGGGTTCTGCTGTGGTTCTATGGCTCTGACTAAGCAGGTGTGGAAAGGCTGGAGCCAGAACCAAGGCACGGGCAGGGCCAAGCAAAGCATTAAGGGTTTGGAGAAGGTGGGAAACGGCTGAAAAGGGGAAAGTGCTGAAAAGCCCGAGGAAGGCGGGAGGATTGCTCAGGGCATCCAACACCCGTTGAGGCTGAGGGAGGAGAGAGGGACTTACTCGGACGATGATGCGCTCGGAGATGTGGGCTGCGAGCGTGTAGTTCTGGTTCTGCGCGTGCGCTTGCAAGGCCACCACGAGCATGAAATACCTGCCAAGAGGGGAGAGAGGTCAGGGTGCCATCCAGCCCCGGGGACTGACACATCCCCAGGCCTTGAGTGCCCAAAATGTCTCGCAGAAGGCATCTGTGCTTCTCACCTCTGGTCTGGGTTGGGTTTGCCTTTCTTCCGCATGTTGTTGGCCGTGGTCTCGCTGAAGTGCAGCCGCCCCACAGTCACCTTAGTGACCTGCTCTGGAGGCAGGTTGACCCTGGGGAAGGGAAAAACAGGGGTGAGTGAGGATATGGCTGGAGAGGAGGTTCTCTGGGGAACAGCATCTCCTGGCTTGCTCCACCAAGGAGCAGCTCTGCGAATTGGACAGTGAGCGAAGTGGGGAATGCAAAGAGAGGAAAACGTCACTGTAGGAAACATGCAGGAGTGTGACACCTGCAGCACGACCCGGAGACCTCGGATGTAGCCCCTCTCCCCAACAGCTCTTCCCCAGGTGGACATACCCCGGGCAACACTCACGTGACAGGGTTGAAGGGCCGTTTGCTGCGGTCGGACTGGGACTGCTCTATGTTGATCGACTGGTTCAAGGCCTCGAGCTGGAGGGAAAGATTTGGGCACGTGATGAAGAGTGAGAGAGCCAAGACCTTCCCCTTCCCACTTCCTTCTCTCCAGAAGTTCAGCTAGCCCAGCCCAGCGACCTGCCAGCCCTCCTGTCGCTCAGCGCAACGGACTCGCAACACCCAGCCTGAGGGTGGTCATTGGCCAAGCCTATCACAGAATTATTGGGGCTGGAAGGGACCTTGAGAGGTCATCTAGTCCAACCCCCCCTTGCTAAAGCAGGATTGCCCAGAGCACATCACACCGGATTGCACCCAGGCGGGTTTTGAAAGTCTCCAAAGATGGAGTCTCCAAGTACGGGTGCTTCCCTTGGTGGGGGCGGGCAGCAGAGGGAAAAAGGATCTTCCTAAAGTTCCTGTATACCTCTGGAGCCAAAGGGGAGAGAAAAGACACCCTGAGGACATCCAGGCAGCGCATGAGTCCATCTTAGGACTTCAAGATCTGCCTTGTTCTGGCTTTCGGCGCTCTCCTACAACTTAGCCCATGAAGACGTGGCGTTGCCTGACCCCTTCTCTCCCTGCTGGGTTGGCTACTGGCCCTTAGCTCCCGCTTGCCTTCACTCCGTGCAGCTTCAGGTAGAAACACTCTAAGGGTTTCAGGCCCTCGGGGGTCTTCACATACTTGGGATCTCCAAGCATGCCGATGTAGACCGTGACCTGGAAGTGATTCTTCTTCTGGCACACAAAGGCGTCGTCCCCCACCGAGAAGTTGAACCCCTTGTCGGCGTCGACGCGGTACGTGAGCATGGGGCTGTGGGAGAGGCAGCAGGAGTCAGACCGTGCACGCCACGAGAGTTCAGAGAAGGACCGTCCCTCCCTGCAGCTGCCAGCTCGCCTCGAGGTGGGTCTTCAGCTGGAAAGGAACGTGGTGCCCGCAACCAGGATTTCCTCTGCACGCTACGCTGGGGTACCAATCACAGAATCCTAGAACGTGTTGGGTTGGAAGGGACCTTTAAAGGTCATCTAGCCTGACCGCCCTGCAGGGAGCAGGGACATCTTTAACTAGATCAGGTTGCTCAGAGCCCCATCCAGCCTTGAATGTCTCCAAGGATGGAGCCTCCACCACCTCTCTGGGCAACCCGTTCGTGTCTCACCACCCTCCTAGCAAAGAACTTCTGAATATCTATCTAAATCTCCAAATATCGTAAATACGAACCACCACGGGCAAGCAGCAACTTTCTGCTGCTCTGAAAAAAGCAGAGCTGCTCAGCCCTGGGCTCAACACACACCAGAGGTCCCAAAACCTGGAGCAGAGCCCTGAATGCTGCTTGCTGGGAGAAGCTGACCCTGGCAGGGACCCCCACCCCTCTGCTTGCTTGCCCTGTTGAATT